GAGTGGGTATTTTTCACCCCCACTGAGCTAATGAATTCCGCGAGAAATGTTCAAAAACTGCCCCGTCTGTCCATAACAGAAGACGGTTGATATGTCGAACACCTGTAGCAAAATCTGATGTCTTGGTTTGCTATTTATTTTTATTGTTATTAGATATAGTTTAAATGTGTTGATGTTGTTTAAATATATTTTAAATTGTTATAAAATTCTGCATCTCTCTTAGCAAAATATTATTTTTGTTTTAATTGATGCTCACAGCTAGAATTTTTTTGCATTACAGCCGATGCCGTTCAAAGCCTACTTATTTAAAGCGGGCGAATTTCTATATACTCTATATCTCGAAGAGGAATCGTGCAAAATATCAAGTTTGTCATATTTTTGGAAAGGTAATTTTAAATTCCTTTCAATAAATTAAAAATATACAGGGTGTCCCATATAACAAATCAAATTTTCTGTTGATAATTCTTAAATTATTAATTTTAAAAAAATTATTCTTATACCATTAAATTCTACGTAAAAAGGTGCTTTGGAAATGTTTTCATAAAAATATAAAATTTTCCATAGCAAAAAATTTAAAGCAATTTGTTAAAATTGCATATTTTTGAAAAATACCCTGTAACTCCGAAACGGTAACACCATCATGTTTTTGATGAAAATTGAGCTCCAGACACCGATATTAGTTTTCGTCTATCTCCTATAGAAAAGGGTGTTTCCATTTAAAAGCGTCGAATTTGACCCACCCTGTACAGGTTGTCTTGTCCCTTCCTTTTTAGTAACAATATCATAAAACTATTTTTAAACATTTTAGATATATTTGTCTCACCAAGGTGCACTAAGTATAGGCTTGATTCATTTCAGTTGATTCCAAAAAATTCCGACTTCAGCGTCTTATACGGCAGAAATCAGAAATGTTTGCTATGTATTTCACGCCGTCCCGGTTATACAGTTCATCTTGATCGCATTAAACTAATATTGAAATCGTGGCTTTGTCATAATATTTTAGTTTTTTGCCAGTGCAGTTATTGAAACTACAAAACACTCGGTACGAGGTTTGTGTGATGTAACGCTGTTTCGTGTAGTAAAAATTAAGTGAAAAAGAATTCGAACTAGGTGTTGCTTTGTGTTGTGACAATTTCAAATGTTAATAAAATTGTGGAAAAGATGTCAACACGCAAAGGAGGGCGTAATTTCATGGTTGTTGTAATAATTATTAGTATTGCAAATTGCAAACAAACTCAACTCAACTTTTCCAGATATTCAACTCTCCCGAAACAACATTTTATATCTTCACAAATTCTCACATCGATTTGATCAAAAGTAAAAATGGATTCTAGCAGCTCGACGAAACAAGTGAGTAAACAAAGTGCCCATTACATGATCAAAAAATTAAATAGGCAGATACTAGGAGAGCTTTGGACTTGTTTTATATTTATATTACAACACTTTGTAAACATACATGAGTAATTTGATAAAGATTATTTCCACATAATCTAATTAGTAATTTTATACTGTCTTAGATAGGTATGTGTTGATATTTATTCTGCATTAAGAGTGATAAGATAAAATTGATAATCTTGGAGTCTTGAATTCTGTTGTAGGTGCTTAACGTACATTGTTTTGTAGTAGTAAATAATAGGACAATATACATATATAAAAGTGCTTAGAAGTGTGACCCGCCTAGCTTAGATGCTGTGAAAAAATGGGTGTTTTAGATAATCTCTTTCAATCTAAGGTGTGTAAAATAATATGCTTGTGATTAATCAAATTATTGATATTTTATACGTTTATAAATAGGTTTGGTTGAAACTCCTCTCAATTTCCCACAAAAATTGGAAACTTTAATGTTTTTATTATTTAAAAACGCTATAACGCTATACAGGGTGGCTGAAAGACATTTCTGAACTAAAGCTGTAGTTTTCTAAAAGTATTCTGGATACAGTATGTTCCCGGATTGCCTTTACAAGAGGAAACACTTTTTTATTATTGACATTTCCAGAAAAATTCATTCTTCATAAAAATTGTTGCTTGTTCTAAAATGGATTATTCCGTTTATACTTTTCCAAATTCCCATACCGTTCTAGAGAAAATAAAAAAAAAACACGAGAAAAAACATGAAAATATAGTTGATTTTTTTCCTAAAAATTAAAATTCCTAAAAATTAAAACGCGTTTCTATGGTAATATTATTTCGATTTAATTCTTTAATGGATGATTATTATCCATTTTGATTAACGTCATATTTTGTGTTGTTAAAGTATCACCATGCCCTAGAGACTCAATGGTAATTTTAGAGAACTACAAATTTAGTTTCTTCCGCATCGCCAGACGGCGCAAAAGACATTAAAGTACAGGTTTCTAATTTATATTATGAAGATGACATGACAGTCTCTATGTTAACCACTGTTTATGACTGTCTATGGTCTAGTTTTTGTCTAGTTGACAAAATGTTAGTGATCCGTCAAGTAATTTTTAAATCATTATTTAAATAATTATTAATTCAGATATTCCCAGATATTCCTGATTTGTCGGAAAGTTCAGTGATTTGTGTTTATAGTTTGTGTTTTTATTAGTTTGTGCATTCTGATACTTACAGTCGATCATCATTTTCGTGTTAGATACTAAACTTTTTTATTAAAGTCATTTTGACATTTTAGAAATAATAATTAGTTAAAAAGTTAAAAAAATTAAAAAAATAGTTTAATCATAAATAAGTAAGTACATAGTTGGTAATATATAGTATTTTTAATAACAGTTAATTAGTAGTCTATAATATTTTTACTATATTATAATTTAGTTGTTACACTTCTAATGATCTAATAAAACATAAAATGGCAGTAAAAAAGTCTATATTTTATATTTTACAAGGAATAATTTTGCGCTTGAATAACGTTACCGTTTTAATTAGCGTTAATAAGTAACGGAACGCTAAAATTATGTTATGCCAAAACTCTCCATTAGTTTCTTCCGGATCACCAGGTGGCTCTAAATGACGGACCCATTTGTTTTATATCAGTGTCCAATCTATCTCTAGTACGTGACATTAGTCTATGAGTATCACATTTTCGGATAACTATTATCACCCTTTCCGTAACATTGATCTAAATAAATTTTGTGCTTCTTTAGCATTTTAAAACAGCATAAAATATGACGTTAATTAAAATTCTATCAATAACAATCTATCAAAGAATGAAATCGAAACTATATTACCATAGAAACGCGTTTTGATTTTTAGAACTAAGAGTTCAACTGTGTTTTCATCTTTTTTTTAATATTCTCTAAAACGGTATGGAAATTTTGAAAAGGACAAAGGAAATTAATAATTTTAGAACAAGCAAAAATGTTTAGGAAGAATGCATTTTTCTCAAAATGTTTCTCCTCTAGTAAAGACAATTCTGGGACATACTGTATTTATTTGCTCAGTATAATTTCCAGAAACTTCCCTTTCAAACAAAACACCCTGTATAGCGGGTATTTTTCAAAAATGGTTAACCCTTATAACTTTTTTATTTTTTCAGATAAAACAAATATTTGGTTCGCTAGTATACGACATAAATCGGGATTAATAAAATTAATTAATGAAACGTTCTATCCTTATTTAATCTTATAATTAGTGTTCATTTTTTACAAGTTTTAGGTCAATTTTTAATACCCAGCCGTCTTTAACGCCGTTTTTTTTTTCGATCATATGGTATATTTTAATATCATGGAAATGACTTATAATATGCGCTTTTATTTATTTATTTGAACTGAAGAACAACTGAAAAATTTGTATACATATACTGTTAAGTTAGTGTCATGTTCACATAAAATGTTTTCCTTTCTGAAAGACTGTATTCATTAAGACATTCTTAGAAATTGTAATGTTTTTTATCGCCTATATATTAAGAATATTGTCAGAAATTCTAAGAAAAATTCGTCATTTTGGTACTTAATGAAAATAGCATCATCACTTGCTCAATTTGTTGTTTATTTTAATAAATTAAGTTACTTATATTGCCTTTATTAGTCACAAATGTTACAACTAAAACAAACAATTTAATAGTAATATGTGTTTTATGTAAAAAACACTGATTTTATAACATAAGGAGTCAAATTTCTGTGGTTGTTGTGTGTGAAAATTTAAATAATTAGAAGAAAAGAAGTATAGAGTATATTATATTTTTAGATTTATAGAGTATATTATTATATTTAGCCTTATAACAAGGCAAATAGAATAAAATTGATATATGTAGAGTATTCCATTAAAAAACATAAATTTACTTAGGTCATATTTCAAAAATAACAGTTCCCATTGAAATATTAGTTGGACGCCACTGGATTCTAAATCAAAAACGATTTGATAAGTTATATATTAACAAAGAATATTATAGTTTTTAAGATATTCTTTGATATTAACCAAGAAACACTAGAGATTCAAAAATTTGCCTTGTATTTCAGGAACTAAGGCTAGGTAAATTTGGTGTATTTTGCATCTTTAGTTTCATAAAATAAAGTAGAACAGTGATGCGAAAACCGCATCTTTGTATCTCTACTCATAAACAAGAAACCCCATGAAACACACGAAAATTGGACACCATGTAGGTACAGATATTTGTGAAAAACTAACAAACTTTTTGTTGGTTTAAAAATAAAGAGCTACTGATACTTTGTTGTTACATTAAAAAAGACATATTATTTATTCATAAAATATTAATAATAAACAACTTCACAGTTTTCTTATTCCCTATTAGATTTATAATTTAAATGTACTTAATTTACTTTTAATAATGTATTTTTTTCCTTGACATACATAAATTATTGTGTAAATCTTTTCCAGATAAAATATAGACTACAAACAGTCAAATTTACAATTAGCAAACATACAGATTAATCTGATTTCCTAGATTAAAAATGCCATGTAGCGACGCACTTTTTTCTAGTCGATTGTGAAAGTGGTTTAAAGCTTTCTATTACATACTTATTTATATTAATTTAACTATTTTTGTTAATTTCTTGTTACAGAAAGATACGTCGAAATCACAAAAACCGGATAATAATAACAGGCGGCCTACCACAACAAATGGTAACAGGTGAGTTTTATTATTTTTTCTTTTTAAAAATATTTAAATAACCTTTTAAAATCGTATATGATATGTTATGCAACCAGTTAAATTTAGCTTGTGTATTATGAGTTGCCTATGGTTGAATAATATAAAATAACAAATATTTCAGTCACGATTGAATTAACTTGACATACATTTGATTCAGACGGCGCTATATAAGTGGGTAGAAGATTACAATTACGATACTAAGAATATAAATAATGTTGTTTTTAATGTGTGTATGATGGTACCGTATAAATAAGTTATATCCACGAACTTACATAACAGGGGGTATAGCCACAGACTAACCTAAACAGATGCGACAAACAATGCAAATGTGAAAATTACATTTTGGCGAATGCGCAAGGCAAATTTTTCCGTTAGATTTGTCATATAGGCGAATTTTACAGCGGACCAGCAAAGTAACCTCCATCCGTTTACTAAGAAGCCACGCCTCCTTTGTGTAGAAAAGGAGAATAGTTTTTTGTGGCATTTTTGTTGTTCTTTTTTTATGGTTAAGCACAGGCGGTGAAACAAACCACGATATAAATTTATTTTGTACAAAGTTTAATAAAAAAACTTATTTATTTGTAGTTATTATGAAAATTAACCGTTTTATTTTATGTCGTTTTAATTTTTGTTTCGTTCGTAGGTACCTACAATAAATTAATAATATAAGGCATAAGAAAATTGGTAATACAAGATTTTTTTTTATTAACATTAAAAAATAGGCACTTAAATTGAATTTTGGTTGTCTTGACATGACGGTAATTATCATGGCTGGGAAACTTAAATGGAAAAGACAGTTCATTAAAAATAGTTTTTCGTCCAAGATGCAGAGCTTCCCCGCCTATAATTGTCACCGCACGCCGCTGCTGTAAACATATCACTCTATATAGGGCGATTCACGGTGATGGCACGTTAGACGTTTACGGAGAACCCGGTGATTTTTACATAAAGGCACCTGCTCCATCTTTCTAAAATATTTACAGCATTACAGTGTTGCCGCTTCGTACTAAAAGTGGTAGCATCTATCTTATTTTAAATGAAACACCCAGTATATTATTACATTTTTGAAAACTACTTTCATATCTCATAATTTTTGTATTATACTAACCTATACCTGTCTCTAATAGTTTTCTTGGAAATGTCAAGTTCTTATGCAAGTTCTATCCAAGATCACGTTTTTGTCAATTTTACACCTTCCTTATTCTTATTTTTACCAATCTTATTTTTATCTCGAAAACTATTAGAGATTGGTATAGGTTTTAGTATAATAGAAAAATTTTGAGACATGGAAGTAGTTTCGAAAAATATAATAATATGCCGGGTGTTCCCTAACAAAATAACAAAGATGCTACCACTTTTAGTATGAAGCGGCAACAATGTAATGTTGAAAATAATTTAGACAGATGGAGCAGGTTCAAAAACCACCGCACAGTGTGAAATTTTGACGTTCTGGTGGAATTAATTCGATTTGCCAACTTTATCCCAGGTCCTAAGTTATTGTAAAATTTATTCAAGGAATGTCCATTCATCAATAAAAAAACATATGTTTATTTTTAAAATCAAGCTTATTATTTAAAAATGCTCATTACTTTATCTTTCGGACAAAACGATAAAATCATCTAAAATATCTAGCCCGTTTAGTCAAATTTTGCAGGCGTTTTAGTGAGAAGTGTTTACTTTCACGGAATAACTACATTGATATTATTTTTATATTAGGCCTACGTAGTAAGCTATCATTTTTTAAAAATATTTCTGCTATATAGTTTGACTGAAAAGAAATGTTAAAGAAGTACCTGCAGTTACCTATGAAAAATTGTAATTTAGCTACTTTAAATATGTTTTTGTTACATAATACCACATAATACCACGATAACTTTGTCATTTCTTGAAAGGCCACTTTTTATAGCATACGACATAAAAAAAATTAGCTGCGTTTAGGTGCGCTTTAGCTATACATATATATTTTTTAAGATGGCTGCGCGCTTCACTCGTCAGGATGTATATGAGGTTTGTACTTCTAACACTCCAAAGAAGCGGCGAAGCGCTGTGGTGAATTTTATATTGGAACGCTTTGATTCTAGTAATCTTTCAAGAGCTGTCAAAGAAAATATAAGAGTTGCGGCCAGGACGTTTTGTCAGAAAATCGAGATCAAACGGAAAAAAGGCAAATAAGCATAAACATATCTTCTTATCTAAAAAATTCTGATTGGTTAAGAGGAGATTTCGATTATCTGTATTAGCAAGAGTAAAAAATGAAAGAAAAACCTCAAATAGAGTCTCTTTGTGCGGTAAGGTTCGTCGAGAAATCAACAATTGATTATTTTATTTTCTTTGATTGTATGATTTTCTCCGATTTAGATAGTTTTTCCAAATCGGTTTGACCCACAAACATTTTATAGTGTATTTTGTTTGTATATAGTACTTTCTTATTTGTCTTTCTTATAGATTATGTATTTTGGTTCGGCAACGCCACATTTTGTAGAATTTTAGACACTCCGTATATTAAACTCCGTAGTTACTAACCTCAAAACTATTCTCTAATCAACAAATTTTTTTATTAAAAATAACATTTTATGAATCACTGATAATATAGTAAAAAAGTTTCCCATATATGTACCAAACATTATGAGAGACCCTGTATATGCCCTACTACGATTATTTTGGTGCATGGTCTACCTTGCCTTGATAAAATTTCTTATATAAAAACGAAAAGACTTCTCCTTTTCTACACAAAGGAGGCGTGGCTTCTTAGTAAACGGATGGAGGTTACTTTGCTGGTCCGCTGTAAAATTCGCCTATATGACAAATCTAACGGAAAAATTTGCCTTGCGCATTCGCCAAAATGTAATTTTCACATTTGCATTGTTTGTCGCATCTGTTTAGGTTAGTCTGTGCTCTAACTTAACGCGTCTGTAAAACACCGTTTTCATTCGCACGTGTAGGTATACTAAGAAGAAAAACCGTATACGAAAATAGCAGACGTAGGCGCGAAATTGTAAGGGAACTGCCTCGGTGTCGTATATTTTGTCATCTATGCAAATCGGAGTGCACCAAGTTGTATTGGGTGCATTTTTGCAGATTGACGTCGCTGATGCTGACGTAGGCCTTCCCTCCCCTCCTCACTTTAAACCGTCTGGTGTTTCAGACTATTTTTAGTCTCATTTTATCAAGCGATTTACATATTATTATCTGTTTACGTGGGAGTCGCTATTAAAATAATAATAATGACAGTAGGTTTGTTCCAACCCGCCGCAGAACCGTCACCGGACGATCACGCTCGTGCGCAGTAATTCAAATGTGTTCCAACCGAGATTTGAGGGTTATCGGACGATCCAATTTGCGTACCAACCTACCTTGGGATCGTTTAGTTACGATTTTAGAACGGTAATTTCGGTACATGGTCTAAATTGAGAACTGTTTGGGTGGACTTGCGCATTAAAGCATATTGGCAGGGATTATCGATTTTTAACAGCTGATTCTGGTCCGGCGTCCGGCTGATGCTTCTGTCTTATATCGTTATTTTTTACGAATTGGAATACTTGTGCGTTATACTTTTGCTTGTGAGTTTATGTGGACGGTTTAATAATGTAAATCGTTCGGAAATTTTAATTAATTTTTTTATTTATAAAATAATGTTCAAAGATTCTACCACTGCAATGAAATAACAGGAAACCACTCATAACAGGATCATAAAAGAGAGGATAGGTAAGTGACTTAGTGAGTATACAGTTGAAACAACACTTACCAACAATTACTGGATTCTGATTCTCCATTTCAAGAATAATAATTATTATTATTGCAAATTGCAAACAAAAATAATAGGGTTATGTTATGAAATTCTAAACAAAAACAAAAAACCGATCGATACACACACGCTTCACACTTTTGACAGTCCCGAAAACAATCCACAAAGCGTTCCAACGTTGATACTTTTTGCACCGTCACGAAATTATTCCGCGCATGCTAACAAAGTACAAGAAAACCGATTCGAATACGATCCTGAAATGCTGGTTGGAACAAACCTAGTATTAATTATTTACTTTAGATAATAAGGATGTTCCATTAACATTTCTTAGAAAGAAAACATGCTGATCTATTGTATCCCCCTTTCGAGGGGGATACAACATATAATACAATAAATACAATTTTCGAGTTATAACTTTTTAGTTAAACGGTTTCGAGTTTAACGGTTTTACAGTCTATTTTTTTTTCAGGAACCCCACCACAAGACCAGTACCACCAGCTCCACCACCCCCTCGGGTCACCCGCCACCATCCCACGCCCCTGCCCGCCACTTCGTCCATCTTCGGATCGCTGAAACGATTGCGAGCCGGCGTTGCCACGTCGACCAAGAAGCAGCAGCCAGCTTCGAACGGCAACGCCGCCGGCGGAGTCGGCGTCGGCGCAGCTAAGGAGGTGGGCGTGGCCAGAGATCCGACGAGAAAGGCTGGGGGGAAAGAAAATGTGGAGGGGAGCAAAGAGAGAAACGGTCAGATCGGTAAAAGGGAAGAGAAAATAGGGAGACAAGGGGTAAGAAAACGGTTTGTTTTTCTAAAAATGTTTATTAAAAAATCTTATTTCTTGTTCTTAGTACAGTACGCTTTATCCGATCTCAGTTGTTCACTGGTTACAAATTCGACTTCCCTTCTACACAATAATATTTATGCCGGATGATGATAGGCACAATAAATAAAATTTTCCAGAAATTGACAGGGATGACAATGACAATGGCCTGACAATGATAATGAGCTGATAATTATTGTATTTCCGGCAACTTTCCATTAGGACAGTCTTCGTTTTGGTGATTTGCTTTCGGTCAATTTTCCGTCGGCCTATTGTTCTCGGTCAATTTTCTGAATACGCAATACATCTACGTGCATAGTCTAACTCGTTTTGACATTGAGACTTATTTCTTTCAAGTATGTTGAATTAGCCACACTGTAAAAGAGAGAGCTGCCATGATAGAACTTTTATTTTGTCCCAAGCAACCATCAGAAAATAATAGGTAGAATGTGTCATTTTCATCAAATTCCATCTTTCTTGTAGTATATCAATTAGTATAACAAGTGATATAACAAAGAGTCCTATCTCAACATACGTCTCTTCGTCATAACGAAGGATTCTAGCAATTGAGATGAGGCAAATGTTTAATGAATATAAAATGAAAAAGGTATAATACTGAACTGCGCAAATTCGCTATTTTAAAAAATGACCCGATGTCATGACGTTGATATCTCAAAATGACCAAAAATCGAGTTACGCTTATTCGTCATAAAGCCGACGATTTGAGTAACTAAACAGAACAAAATTCTTGTTTCAGGTTAAATCAGCTGTAGTACCCTGGGACCAATTCGTTACCCGCAGAGTACCTAGGTCGACAACAGCAACACCAAGTCAACAATCGAAGCCAAAGAGACCTGTTACCATAGCTATATCACCAAATTTATCTCGAAAAAAGTGAGTTGATAGAATTATAACCATGTACCCATAGTTCATATATCAAATAAACTTTTAGTCACATGATTAAGCTTGACCAGCACAGCGTTGTCCACTTTTGCATATTTTCTTTTAATCAAAATATTTTAGGAAATAAAAATAAATTAATTGTACATATATAAACAGTTATTATTTATATCAATAAATTCATCTTCTTAACAGCACTAAGGGACATAAAGGGCCATTACTACCACAGTTTAAAGAATACATACCAGTTGGCCCACTCTAAGGAATTCTATTGTTATTTTGACTTCAAAGGCGGCCCGTGATCCTTCGAGGTGATAAAAAATTTGTACGTTTACCGGGTGCAGCGGAAGTGCTATTTTATCAGTCAGAACGCTTTATCACTCAGAATACATATATTATGGTGAATACATTAATATTAAAATATTAGATATATTATTCTATCCTAATTCTTTGGAATATGGAATTGTCAATAGGGTTATTATTATTAATAATTATTATGGAAACCCCATATGAAAAATGTATACTAAATAAATATAATAAGTTAATTTTTTAATATATATAATAATAATTTGCATATTTCTTAAATTATAGCATGTTTTGCTTTATAGATGTTTGCATTTTACTTTAATTACCTACCCGGAAAGCCCAAATTTGGACTTTCCAGGTAGGTAGTTAAAGTTAAATACAAGCATCTAAAAAGTAAAACATGCTATTTAAAAAAATGCAAATATCTTAAAAAATTATTTAATATGCATTTTGCAAACCGGTAAATACTGCAAAATCCAAAACATAATAGTAAAGTATCTACTGCTACTCTAAAATATCTACTAAAATAATAAACTAATTGTTAAAAGTAAATATTTTGTGCATATTTCGAGTAAAATCTTTTCTTAATTTATACATATGTATATTTTTAAAACAATTTATTCATAGTTAGGTTTCCATAATTATAATATACTTAATATGTCTAATACTTTAATTATATAATGGAAAATAAATTTCTTGCAGTTTTTAGGTATATAATAAAATTATATAAGAGTTTCTTGCCTTGAACTGCTAATATAGAAATTAATTCCACGCTGTGTTCGACATAATGTGGATCAACCTGCTCTCACTACCGGTTTCGGGGCCCTACCCCATCATCAGGTGAGCTTGGATATTTCCACAATATGTCGAGCACAGCGCAGAGTATATAAACACGACTTGTAAAGTAGCGGTAATATATTAAGTCCCGCATCGCGAGGTAGCGGCCTGCGACGGGCGAAGAGTGGGTCAACTGATATATTTATATTCTTTAAATTGTGTTACTACGCTTTCCCGTTCAAAATATTCTAATAAAGGTGCGATGAGTTTTTTGCGCCACATCTTGTACCACATCGCACTAAAAGAGGTTCTAAAAAGAACAATATTTGACTGCAAGGTCTGTTAGTAAATATTTTTAAACTTTACGTATCACAACATTATTTATTTAAACCAAAAACTCGTAATAGAAAAAAAAGTGTCTAAACGAATGACAATGTCAGGAAATAAATAGATGTGGCAACTTGACATTTTTTACAGCTGCAACCACCTGAATCTCCAGAGGGGAATTTAGATTCCAGTTAATCAGCCCGGCGCCGAATATGTCCATGGTTGGTAACAGTGAATTTAAAAATCGCGCCCTCGATTACGTAACTAAAAGTTTAATTGGTATCAAATATAATATATAATATGTGATCGGATGATAACGACATCACACAATAGAACTAGAAATAACAATACAATACAGGGTGACTCTTAAATAAGTGCAAATATTTTCAAGGCGGGTAGATCTCAACAAAAGTATAATATTTTCTCTTTGCCGTTTTTCAAATAAATCCAAAATAACTGAGTTATTTTACTTTGAAGATTTCCAAAAAAAAAAATATTTTTTGCTAAAATTTTGGGGAACCCCTGGATCTTTTCTGGATTTTCTTTCTTGCAAATTTAATGTACTGCCTATGTTGTCATATTATCAAGGAATAATGTTTTTAAAATTTTATTTCGGGAAAAAAATTTCATAATCATGTTTTCTGGGGTCTAAATATACTAAGTACTCCTAAAAATATTTGCACTTATTTAAGTAAAACTCACTTTGTATATAAAAATATGAATGAATATATTCAAAAATCTACTGTAATGTCGTCTTCATTCAATCGCACTGTACATTAAAAGCAAGGGTCCGATAAAAGCTAGTGAAAAGGCATAAGGAAGGACGAATGGCATACAAATAAAATATCGTGACTAAGCAGAATGCTCTTTATTATAGCCCTTATATTAAGGCCTCATAAATAAAAATAAATGGCACGTCATTAAAGAAGACATTAACACTATTGTGTTCGAACTTGAGCGCCTTACGTCCAAATAAGGTCGTACTTATTTAAAACTTACTAAGTACTCTTTTATGTTTGCAGATCGACCTTGTTAGAACATGCCTATGGAACATGCATACAGTTGTCAATATTTAATGAGTGCTTCACATATATTTATTTACAATACCATATATAATTGTCTATACAAAACAAGAATCTGATTAAATCTACCTTTAACAAACACCCCACTAAATGTATAAAGTACCCATACAGCACACTTCGTCCCAGGGACGTACATTTTATGTCCATTTTACGTCGGTACGTTCCGGGACCAATTAGGGACGTACTATTTACGTACATTGTAGGACTTCACTACGGACGTACATGCGAGTACGTACTACGTACGTATCTTGAAGAAATCTGATGGGTTAAAAATTCAATATATTATGCAATCAAGCCTAACAGGAAAATTATGCAGTCCTATGTTTAAATTTCCCGCTAAGTTATTCGTTCACATTCGAGTCTTGTCGGAATCGGAAGTCGGGCGGTTTCTAATGGCGTTTTCATTGGCAGAGCTAGAGCGCACGTGCGCACTCAGTGTATTTTTTTAACAGGACACTGTCTCTTCAATAAACACCTCAGTAGATTAGTAGATTCTCTGGTAGATTGAAGCTAAGAAAAAACGGTGAATGTAGATTTTATGGGAAAAATGGGGAAACATCAGAACGCCTCATCACTGAGTCAGCCGAGACGACAACTATTCGTGACATAAGCTTTAGTACGACTGATTTCAGAGATGGGGAACTACCCTAAGTATTTTATCGTACAATACAAATAAATAATAATAAATAACTTATCAATATCGATTAACATTAATTATTATCGCTATAAAAGAAATAATAATAGGTTGTAGAAATATCCACTATCTATACAAAACAATACACATGTTACCAAATTCATTCACAGTCATTCAAATTAACGGACGACGCAACTTTTCAAAGATCCAACGGTCTCCGGTAATCTGATCGGCTGTGGTGTATTCGTTTCGCGGAAAAACTGGTCTAGCAGGCTGATCGAGTGTCGCTTTCTTACGTAGTCGTTTTTCACGGAGACTGCTCCCGATCTGTTGCGTTTGCCAAACGATTGCACCAGCGTTGAACTCTCAGTACGTGCGGTGTTGTCGAACTGATAAATTTTTCGAGAAATAGCCGATGTTTAGTCAGAATAAATATTTATATATACAGAGTATGTTTCAAATTTTATTAAGACTCTAAGTATTTTCATGTAGCAGGCTTTGAATTGTGTTTAACATTTGGATAATACTTTTACACATACTTTCTAGGAAAAACTTTGATTTTTCTCGGTGAATAGGTCTATTCTAGGTTTTTGAGTTCCGCTTTAAGTTGGTTTCCACTTGTGAAGCACATATAATTTGGGTCTAATATATTTCTAATATTACTAATCTAAGTAGTCTATCACGCAAACATAATAAAATAACTACTAAACGAAGTATTAAGCCATCTTATCCGATAGTGAAGCAGCACTAAACGCGATCAGCTCAGTACCCATAATTCGAAGATACTCAAAGAATGCATAGAGAAGCAATAATTGCTTCTCTATGCAGTTATTCTTCTCTATTAGACAAGAAAACAAATTAGATAAAGATAATAAAGTCCTCCTATTCAGGGTGCCCGCTCACAAAGTAATTGATCTAGCTAGAAATGGAGCGAAAACTCCACTATCTGGACCAGAACAGTTCTGCTTTCCAGGCGGAAACCAACTAAAAGCGGAACTGAAGAATCTGGAAGACTCCATCCGTAACCTGGAATGGGAGAGATCCAACGGTCTAAGACGCTTGAAAAAGTTCCTCAGCACTTACGACCGAAGAGAATCACAGATTTTCCTTGATTTAAGTAAAAACAATCTTCGGATTACCTCACCTCAGTAAGCTGAAGCCGAGGCTGAAGCTGAGTAACAACGGCGAATGCAGATTCTGTGGGGAAAATGGCGAAACACCAGAACACCTTATCACTGAGTGCGCCGAGACGACAACTGTTCGTGCCATGAACTTTGGTACGGCTAATATCGAGAATGGAGAGCTGGCCTCTGTGGAGCGTCTCAAATACTGACTTTTGTTGAAGCCCTGAGACTGTATGATGAGTTATAACTCGTTATAGCACACAATAGATCTGTAAGGTCGCGGTGATTAACCCCCCTCCTAAACATTTTACATTCTACAAACGAAATATTAACCAAGGAATTATTAACTAATGGCTAAATAAAAAAATGAACACAACTGATACTCAAAATATTGGCCGTAATTTTCTGAGCAAAACTCTATTCTTCTTCTTTTAGTAAGTAGTATAAAACCTCAAAGATATGAGACTTGTATAATCTACAAATTTGAAATTTTTACTACTGATGCATCAAAATAATGCAGTTAACTTGGCAACAACGTTCGACGCTCGGCAAGTGGTTGTTTTGTGTGTCGCACGAACATATTGAAGAAAAGGTACACAACCAGTCGTTCGCTTGATTTCATGGTTTGTCGTGTCTACGTGTGACATTTCGAAAAGATATTTCCGTCGAAAAGACTTGTTTTGCGTGATTTTATCCGTAAAAATGACCAAATTAGAACACTAACTCAACATACGGTCGATTGTG